TAACTCTTTTGCCCGTGTGGCAGAGACACAGCTGGTTATATAGCCCGTGGCCTTGGGATGCTGGGAATTGTCTGTTTTAGTGGACTATACAGCATCAGCTGGGAATTTGAGCCCCATTTGTTTCTTGTAGGAAGGAAACTGAGGCACAGAACAGGAGCAGAGGTGACATCACAGCTGAGCTAGGAGTTGTCTGTAGTTCTGAGCAGTGTTCTATGCAGGCGCTCCCGGTCTCTAGAGGAAGCCAAGACCTCTCCTGGCTTCAGGCCTTCCCTGCATCATCATGTCGTCAGCCTCTTTGCCCAGCTTAATCAGTTCTATGGAATCATCCTTGGGGAAGCTTCCAGAGGGAGCTGCAGCCCTCCATGCCAAATGGCCCAGGGACTTCTGTTCCTGGTACCACTTATTCTAACACAAATGCTGTCTTTGCGTAGCATCAGGGACCTTAAGGGAGCTGTTTCTGTCCTGTGAAGGCCTCAGCCTTAAAGAACAGCCACCCCTCTGCTCTTTTTATAGGAAAGGGGTGCTGAGGCATGTTCAGGGACATGCAGGCTCCTGTCACCTTGTTAGGAGGCTTATTTGCAGGAAAAAGCTCCCAGCCTCCCATGGACCATACATACGTCTTCTCACCTGTTGTCCTTCCCCTGTGTTCGTTGCTGGACTCTGGCTTTGTATGAGTGTAAGTGGGGGGAGGGGGCTGGTTGAACTCTGGCTGAGTGCCAAGTACTCCCTGGGGTCTGACTCCTCCACTCTCTCGTAGTCTGGCTCCCCTGTGGCCACCTTCAAGCAGCACATGGCCCCCGTGACCTCTGTCGAGTGGCACCCTCAGGACGGTGGGGTCTTTGCAGCCTCGGGCGCTGACAACCAGATCACACAGTGGGACCTGGCAGTGGAGCGGGACCCGGAGGCAGGTGAGGCGGAAGCAGACCCCGGGCTGGCAGCCCTCCCCCAGCAGCTGCTGTTCGTGCACCAGGGGGAGACTGACCTGAAGGAGCTTCACTGGCATCCTCAGTGCCCTGGGGTCCTGATTAGCACCGCACTCTCAGGCTTCACGGTCTTCCGCACCATCAGCGTCTAAGGTGGCTGGCACGTGGCCTCGGGCCTCCGCTCTTCATGGGAACTGGACCGTCAGGTCTGTAGACTGCACCCCAGAAAGAAGGACGTGCTCAACTGGCCCATGTGGAACAGAAGTAATGGATTCTACTGACCTGGTGTCTGCCTGTGGACCGACCCTTGCCTGTCCCGGATGTGGTCTCAGTGTGGGATTTCTGTCGGTGTTGACTCCTGGCTTGACCCTTAGACCTCTGACCCAGTACCCAGTTCTGGCTGGTGATCGACTCCAGGAACTTGAAGGATTTTGCCATGCTGGGCCAAGGCTGGGTCTGGGTTGCTCCAGTGGAACTTAGTTCTCTCCTTGCCTTCTGGCCAGCTAGGCCCACCTGAGATCCAAGACTGGGACTGTGTTGGGTGCCCTCCCTGTGGCGACCACTGGTGTACTGTGGGGGTCTGGGCTTTTGCTGCAGTAAAGGACCACAATCAGGCCCCGACACGGGAGACCCCGGTCCTTTGAGATTTCTTCCTATGTAAGGGGATTTGGTGTGGAGCTCCCCCTGCGCTGGACTCTGTCACCCTGTGCCGGCTCTTCCTTTTTGTCTGCCTTAGCCTTTTCTAAACCTTACTCCATTTGGAACTGGCTCTGAGTCAGTAAATGGGTGTCTCTTTCTGGACCACCAGTTTATTAAGGCATCATCCTGGGGGAAATGGGAACCCCCATTTTCTCCCCTTTATTATTACCTCGGTATTTCCTTCTCAGTTCGCTAGGCTGTCAGTGCCCTTCCTATGACTGTGTTCCGTGTCCCTGATCCCCACTGTCCCTCCCTGCCTCCCACCCATCATCTGCACTGTCCTCTCCGGTCTGCCTGGGCCGCAGCCCAGTGCCCTGCCTGGCCAGCCTCCCTGGCTCCCCCTCTGCAGTGCTGAGCCGGCTCCACCCCCACCCCCCTCTGTCCAGGCCCTGATCCGCTGTAGCTCAGAGGTTGAGTGCCCCAGCTCAGGCCCCAGGGCCGAGGACAGACCTGAACACATTAGCAGCCACAGAGGCCCTCTCCAGCCTGGGCCGAGCAACCCCCAGTGCAGGGCATGGGGGTGGGCGGCCCCCCCAGGTAAGTGCAGATATGAGCCAACCTACCCCATCCTCCTTCTGCCCCCAACACCTTCCCTGGTGTTCCAGCCGGTGTTTACCCCCCCGCTAGCACCCCAGTTCCTGGCTTCCAGCTCCGGTCGCTACCGACAATGAGTTTCTCACTATCCCATTATCCCTTTAAGAGGCATCCCCTCACTCTCCCTATCTGTCTCCATTTCCTAGGACATTCACTTCATTCCTCTTCTCATTCTTCCTCAGCCGTCTTGTCTACTGACCTCTGAGTCCTGTCGCCTGCCCCCACCCCAGATATTCTTTCTCTCTCTCTCTCTCTCTCTCTCTCTCTCTCTCTCTCTCTCTCTCTCTCTCTCTCTCCAGGTCTCTGTCCCTTTCTCCAGGTCTTTGTTTTTCTGAGTCCATCTCTGCCCCCAGCCCCTTTGGGTCTCTGTCCCCCCAGCTCACGCCACTGTGA